CTTTGACTGCATTCGTATGTGAAGTCCAATGTTTTTGTATGTCGCCTATTTTTGACATTTTCTGAGCAACCTAAGTTAAGTCTAGAACCACCAAAAGTAGAGGTCCAATTCCTCCTAGACCGTAGGCATGGGGCGGGTAGTGCACGCATAGGGTACGAGTTATAATTGAACTGGTACGCTTCAGGTAATAACTTAAAGATAGTAATCGGGTAGGAGGAGATGATAGTCTGTGCCTGCTGAATAATACGAGTAACACCCTATCTGGAGGGAGTTACGAAGTATTATTTATGTTGCACGTGGTAATCTTTTAGGCTAAAAAACATAGGACCCCCTTTATTTCCTTTTTTTAGAGTAGTTGTACCCTTTGTTCAAAAATCTGTTTATAATAAACTTCTTAAATTTTTGTGCTCTCTTCGTTTATTTGATCACATGGACTAATTCATGTAATTCGAGTTCGGCCGGAAACCAAAGTTGTGGACCTCGAAGAGTGCCTAACACCTTCTCTTCGAGGTAATTTCAAGCCCTTACCCGATCTTTGGTGACACAAACTAGTCGAACATAGTTATTTGGAAATAGGTGCCCTAACGCACCTTAAACCCGTTAGGTGGTGACCCTCTCTTTTAACACCCTTGCTTTAAAAGAGTTGTCACGTGTCGAAACCCGATTTCGCGAGAAAAAGGGCGCGACAAGTACTACTTATTGTTTGTATGATAATTGAAATATATCAAAATACATCATTCAGTATAAATTAAAAATATGCTCTTATGAGACTACTCCAAAGAGGAATATAAGAAAAAGAATAAAAATATGATTGAAATTAAAAATAGAAGAAAGTTATGGTAGAAGAAAAGGAAAAGGAAAAGAAAAAGGTTATATTAATAAATGATAATTTAAAAAATATAAATATATTGTAAGGTTATTTTTATCTTGAATAAATTAAGCTAGGATTTGTAGCTTATCCTCAAAAGCAGAAAAACGGCTTCTGTTGCTGCTCAAAAGTACTTTTTTCAGTTTGACCAAACACCTCAATTTTTTTAAGAGCCTCCCAAAAGTTTGACCGAACATGTTCTAAAGTATTTGAACACTTTAAAGGGTCGTTTGGTAGGGTGTATAAGGATAGTGCGGAAGAAGGTGTATTAGTAACGCATGGGTTAGTAATGCAAGCATTAGTTATGCAGATATTATTTCTTATCTACTGTTTGGCATGGTGTATAAAAAATTGTAATGCATTGCATAATTTTTAAGAAAAATAGTTATTTACAAAAATGCCCTACATATTCTCTAGCTTTAAGGGACTTTAAGGATAATTTTGTCTTTAACCATACTAATACATGCATTAATAGCCATGGTATTACTAATGTCATGGTTTTGTATGCATTACTTATAGAAGAAAACTTCAGCTCAAAAACATGTTGTACTTTTACAAAAACAAAACCAAAAAACTTCATATCAAAACTTACAGAATATATTGTGTCGAGTAATTCATTGTCATCAAACTCAGTTGTAGAACGGTTAGAACGACTATGGGTACGAGATGATTCGCCAATACAAGGAGTTTGATTCGCTTCTTTTGATCGACTCCGACTACGTGGTGATTGGCCAATAATAGAAGTTCGATTCGCTTCTTTTGATCGACTCAGACTACGTGGTGATTCACCAGTTGAAAGAACCGCATTAAGTACCTTTGAACGAATCCGGTTGCATGATAATTGTCCAATTAAAGGCATTGAATTCAATTCCTCTTTAGTAGGAATTATATCCAATACCCTAAAGTTGCGATAATTCTGTATAATACAAAAAAGTATATTATGAGATTTAGGAAAAAAACTAATACGTCAACATATAAACACAAAGACAAAAAAAAAAAAAAGTAGCTTACTTCATGACTACTGAAGAAATCAAAAAGCTCGGATATTTAGGCTCTCCCACACATACATAACGTAACATCCTGGGAACCTGAGGGGTATCAAGGTACTCATCCTCTCTTATATACTTCTCCCGAATATCTGGGAAGCGCTCATAGAACCAAGCACATAACGGATATGGAAATCCACCAACTTTATACTCAGTTGAATGTAATTTGTTCTGCTTGTCCAATGCATGTTTCAGTGAGTAAATGAGCTTCTCATAAGCCACATTACCCCAAGGATATTCAGCACAAACCTTATCATCTTCAACAATAGATGCATACTCCTCCATCACAGATGACTCAGTCTTTTTCCCAAACAAAATAGACTTTGCAATAAGAATCTCCATAAGCTTCACAGCATCATCATCACTCTCGCATACGTGCCTGTGATTCACAGCATTCTTTGGAATTTCATTTCGAGTCATAAAATCTCGAATATCCTTTAAAGTCACACCCTTGGACTTACCAAAATAGCGCTTCAGAATATTGCTCTCTCGATTAATTGGTTTTTCAACATTATGTGCCGTGATCCGCAAACCGCACATAATGTGAAAGTCTTCAAGGGTGAAGGAAACATCATGGCCAAAAATCTTGAAACTAATCGAGTCTCGATCATTGGTGAATATTCGAGAAAGACACAGATAATGAATCAACTTCATGCTGCATTTGAAATTCTCCATAGCCATAATGTATCGAAATGTACTATTATTAAGCTCATCGCGTTGTGTAGGAGTCAAGAAATTTGCAATTAAACTCTTCAAATCGTGGTTCCCCTTCCAGTAAGCCTTACAATTAAACCAATCTCGAAACTCAAAATATCTTTGCCCTGGTCTTGTAGGTGGAGGAGCAGGGACATATGGACCTGGGGTTATTATAGGTTGTCTAGGTGCTTTAGGTGTTAGCTGCTTTGCGTACTTTAGCTGCATTAGGATCTTTAGGTGTTTTAGGTGCCATCTGTTCAAAAAAAGTAAAAGATACAAAAAATAACATGAGGACATTATAAAAAATATCAGTTAAAAATTCAATCTCCAAGAAGGCTGAAGTTCGATAATTACAAAATAAAAACTTCAGCTCTAGAGCTGAAGTTCGACAGTTACAAAACATAAAACTTCGACAGTTACAAAACAAAAATTTCAGCTCCTAAAGCTGAAGTTCGACAATTACAAAACAAAAACTTCAGCTCCTAAAGCTGCTCCTAAAGTTGAAGTTCGACAGTTACAAAACAAAAACTTCACCAATTACAAAAAACAAAACCTTTATCTCCTAAAGCTGAAGTTCGACAGTTACAAAACAAAAACTTCAGCTCTAGAGCTGAAGTTCACCAGTTACAAAAAACAAAACCTTCAGCTCCAAAAGCTGAAGTTCACCAGTTACAACCACAAAACATTCAGCAAAAAAATATGCTGTAGTTTTTACAAAAAACAACACACAAATTCAAATCCAAAAATAATGCCAAAACACGAAAAAAAACTTCACCTCCTATCTAAGGTATCATTGAACTATTATAAACTTCACACTTTAATAGTATCATCTATTTAACTCTCAAATTTTTTAAAAATTCCGACGTCTAATCACTGAAAAATTTATAGAATTTTCATCAACAACACAAACACTCGGTCAAAAAACCTAAAAACACAATCGTAAAAGTAAAACTAATGCACTTATCAAGCTAAACCCTAAGAAACTATTTTATCATAAATACATAACTATCAAAACCAAAACCAGAAATTAAATCGTAAAATAAAACCCAGAAAGTTAATGCAATGTACCTGTGGTTAAATCGTAATGTGGGAACAACGACGACTAGCAGTTGAAAAATCAAAAAAACGACGAAAACCGTTTGATTTAAGAGAAGAATAAATTAAAAAACGCGAATAACGGGAGAGAGAGACAGAGATAGTAGAGGACTAGCGTATACTTGGAGAGAAAGTAGTCTTTTAATAAAGAAGGGCGAAATAGTCTTTTTAAAATGCTTTTAACAAAAAAACGGGTACGAGTGCAAACAGAAAAACAAAGCGACGTGCAATTTTAAAGAAAAACATGTATATAATTCCCAAGTTTTGGAATTTTGGCCCAAAATCAACAATTGGGGTGATTTTGGGATTTAGGGTTTGGGATTTTGCCAAAATGTGGATAAAATTTATGGCCAAGCATGAGTTTTTTTTTGATAAATCCCAAATTTATTTTGGCAAAACTCATGGACAAACGGGTCCTTAATCCATGACCTTTTTCTTTTGGAAAATTACCAGCTATGTCCATTTATAGGTAGCTCATTACAAAATTGGCCAATTGATAAAATATTACTAATATTAGCCAAATTAGCCAATTAGCTATTTGTAGCAAAATAATATCAAATTTTTGCTTTGTTTTGAGTGGGTGTTATTAGAATAGATTGGGCACAACTTAAGGAGCTTGAATCTCAGTTTTGGGATGATTTGGTGAAGTTTTGAGGTGGTTTGAAATGAAAATTCGAAATAAAAGCTGAACATGAAAAAAAATGATATGTGTATCACACTGTGTATCATTTGTGTATCACATATGTATCAATTGTGTATCACATGTATATCCATGTATACCTGTGTGTGAGATACATGCGTGATACATGTGTCGCAGAAGACTTTTTTGAACTCGATTTAATTATGAATTTTGATACAAGACCACTCCAAATCACCTCCAATCTTCCTCAAATTTTGTATATTGACTTATCTATATATTTTCAATGAATTTCAACTATACCCATTGAAAACGTTCCTTTTTTGTTTAGATTTTTGGAATATTTGTATAGATTTTTGTATTTCATCACCTTATTTGCTACCTCGTCCATGAAATTTTTTTTCCGCCTTGTATCTAATGTTGCTAATCACACTTAAAAATATGGAAGGTGATTTTTGCATGTGATTCTTTGAGAGAAAGAACCCTATTATTTGGTTTTTCAATTTTTATTGGCTAGTTTTGGTAAATCTATGACTAATGGCTAGAGTTTGGTAAGTTGAGATTTATTTGGGACATTTTTGTAAGTTTCCTTTTCTTTTCCCACCAAAGGCACTAAACTTTCTTGAAATATTTTTAATATTTCTTCGAAGACTAGCAGACAAGCATACAAGCTCCCGGTGCCGAAGACTAGCAATTCTCGACGGCTTTCGACAACTTTCGTGGTATCAAAATACAACTTTTGATTACTTGTTTTTCTGATAAGTGTTGAACCGTTGAACCACTACCCATTTGCTGTTACTAGAACGTCCTCTTTGGTGTACAAAGAAAAACCAAGACTATGGTTTGGGGCCTTTTTCCTGTTGACCCAATTCCAGGTTCTGCACAAGCTTTCTCTCTACTTTTAGATTCTTTCCTTTAAAATGATTGCATTGAATGTTAAAATCATCTGCTTTTCCCATAGCGGTGCACTTTACCTAGTAACCGAGAAAGTAATGACACTAAGGAATTGTAAGAGTAATATTGTATTATTCTTTTTTCAAATTAAGACTGAGGCCCTACATAAGTACGGGTTTAGCTAAGAGTATAGCATATTGGAGGAAAACCATGGGGTCTTAAAAATACTATGTACGTGATTTCTTCCCATTTGCCTAAAATTTGGTGGTCTGAGTTACCCGGTATTTGTGCTGGTGGGAGGTAGTAAATACTCACAGGAATAATCGAGATGCATGCAAGCCGGCTTATTAAAAGAAGAAAAAAGAAAAGAAAGTGATACTAGGATTAAGTCTTAGTTGCTGTTATTATGCTTACATTAGGTTCGGCGTTTCACAAGAGTGTCTTTGGCCCACCTAGAAAGACTTGTATTTTAGTGTACCATGATTTATAGAAATACTAGCTTTAGAGAACCTCCGAGTTTTCCTTAAAAGACAAATTGCACCCAAGGGTTTGGCAATAGCGGTCACTGAGTTGAGATGAAAATGGGTGATCAGTTCCAAATCTCACTAGTGGTAAAAAGGTTAGATGATTTATTTCTAAATTTTTAAGTCGTTATGGGCAGAGTAACCAGAGTTATCAGTTATGTTGTACCTGGATTGGTGGAAGGTAGTAGGTACCTAGTAGAATTGTTGAGGTACGCACAAGTTGCCCTGGACACCATCTTTGTGAAAAATGAGAAAGATAGTATTGGAATGAATGTGATCAAATAGAGCAGGATGGATATAGAGATCGATATAGCCAAGCCCAACAAGTTCAGCTTTGAGGCATAGTTGATTGATTGATTGAGCACGTAGGTCCCATAAATATACATATGTTCAAATGATCAATTGTTTTAATCATAGTCGCAATGCAACATTTCCTGCATGAGCTAGTTTACTAATGTTGAAAGTTGAAACAAGTTGTTCATGGCTTTTGTTGATCCAATTTTGTTAATGACATTTGTTGGTTTCATTTTAGCCTAGAATCCTTACTGATTTGTCATCTTATTAGTTATAGTATGGTCGGTGAACTAATACATTGCTCGTTGTTTATGTGACAGGTGAAGATAAGTACTATTTCTTCAATAAAGGAACATATAAAGTGGGTCGAAAAGGTAATCGTTCTCAATTATGTACTCATAAGTTTTTTCTAATGCGTTTATCAATGATATATGAAGTATTTACTCCCTTACAAGGTGACACTTTCTACTCTTAGCTTGGTTACTCTATGCTGTCCTCACTGCTTCCTTTTCTTATTAATCTTGTTGATGACATGAGTTAGGTGTCATACGTTCTGATGTGATATGCTTTTGCTTATTGTTTTGCTGATGGTTCAGTGTAATTACCATGTATAAAAGCAGATTAATGGAGATATTAGATGCTCAGGAATGACTAAGTACTATTTGTCTTAATATTTTAGTAAATATAATGATATGTAGAACATTAAGAAAATAAGTAATATACGTAGTCTATAGAAGAGTGACTTCAATGAGGATTGCATGGAATTAATTCTCCAAATGCTTTGCTACTGATGGTCGAAACGAAGCTACTTTTTCCTTTCTGGATTTTCCAAGAGCTCCCAAATCAAGTATTGTTCTTTTTTCTGGATTGATGTCAATAGTGAGGTTTCTAAGGGAATATCAAGTCCGACCTTGGTTGAGTGAATGAGTTGTGAGTCCTTATCTGATCTTGGGCAATCCTCCCTTTATGAGCTAGTTTTTTGGGGTTGAGTTAGGTGCAAGATCCATTTCTTCGCATGATATCAGAGCTAGATCCATCGGTTCCGTCTGTTGTGTTTCTCAGTGTTGGCCCATGCTATGTTATCCGCGCTCCAGTTGTCCAGTCCTGGGCGTGTGAGGTGGTGTCAAGTCCCACATTGGTTGAAGGAATGTGTTGTGATCTCCTTATATGGTCTTGCGCAATCCTCCCTTCATGAGCTAGCTTTTGGGTTTGAGTTAGGCCGAAGGTCCATTTCTTCACAGGGACCATTGGACTTGATGATGTAACTATTTTCTTTTGGTAGCTTCTTGTTTCCAGCTGACACGATGTTTCTAGTAGGAGAAAAAAGTACAGGAACACTAAATGGATAATTCCAATGTCATAAATAGACAGGGATATTTACCTATCGATATTTAATGGTGAATAGGACTTTGTGGTGGTGGGTTCACAATATTCTCCGAGTCTAAACATTGAGCAAGAATCAAGAACGAGATGACATACTTAAGATATGTAAGCTGGCTTAGCGAAATGAAGAAATATAGAAAATGAATGAAGAATTTAGAAATTGATTTTAGAAATCAACAAAAGAAATGGGAAACTGGTAGGTGTCTCTCCTGATACATAAGGAACGGAGACAAGTGCTGAGCAAAAGGTGCTGGAAAGATAAAATTTTGTGAGAGATGATAGTCTTGTCTGGCAATTTCTTGACCTGCATATTTTGAGCATCATAATCTCGGCATTTCATCCATGGTATTGTACCATTGTTTGTAGAGTATTTACATCTATTTTGCTGGATTTAGAGGCACTGTTTCATCTAACTTTCTCTCACTTGAAAGTGCATATTTTTCAAATAGTACTCTTACGTGTTATGTTTGAAAAGTAACCTGTATTATCTTTAAATGTATTGTTTCACAGGATGTGATGTCATTGTCAACAAGGATAAAGGAGTTTCAAGGATCCATGCAGAAATTATAATAGATGAAATGAGTTCTTTGGATCAGGCATTGAAGAAACCCTCAAATATGTCATCTAAAGTACGTATAAGAGACTGCTCAAAGTATGGAACATTCCTCAACAAGAATCTGGGCTCGAAGGAGAAAGTTCATGAGTTTCCAAATAGAGAAACAATGCTTAAGGATGGGGATCTAGTTTCATTTGGAACTGGTAATGCAACTTACAGGTGATTGAAGTTACATATTGCAACTCTTACCTCCTATAATACCTCTTATTAGTGGAGCATTAACCCCACTGAAAAACATATTAATGTGATGATGTATATCGAACAGATTCTCTTATGTGCCCTTCATATTTTTCATTTGCTCCACGAAGCATTCGAAGACAAAACAACTTACTACAAAGGTGTCATCAATAGGTAAGGTCATTATTTATGCTATGCATAAATATTTCCTCAGGTGGTTTATGCACTTTTGTGTTTCAGGCTGCTTATGATATTTCCAGTGTGATTTGTTGAATTCTTGATGCATCTTTGTTTGGTTGTTTCCTCTGCTATTGTTAAACCATTGTTTCCTATGAGGTGGAGGCATATTAGACTTTGGTGCAGAAATTGTGAATCATAGACTTCGGTGCACAAATTGTGGTCAAATGACGGAAGAGCAACAAATAATTTTTATTCCTATTTCCTATTGCTGCTGTGGTGAAGAGGACCAAGAACTGCAAGAGAATGCCAAAATATGACCTAGATAATCCTAGAGACCAGATTTGCTACTCGTTTTGTTGTAGTTACATTCTAAGGAATGAATTCCTATATATTATAAAAAAATAATAAATACATATATAATTTGTGCTTACAAAAGCAGAAAGTATCTTGAATGCTTTCATCCATTTTATAATGCTGTGATCATATGTTTAGTAGTCTAAAGTTACAAAAGCACCAGGCACATGAGATAGAGAGAATACCTACATTATATTATAATATCAAAACTAGCAGTACAACTCATTCCACTATATGGATATATACACACAGAGGACATCAATTCCGGATGTATCTCCTTGCAGGCGCCAGTATAACGAAAAAGTGGAGTTTGGACTGCTCACATGTGCTTGTAGATGACTCGTTTCCACTGAGTGAAGATCTGGTTGATGCTATTGCCGCTAGAAAACCCCTGGTTCAATATAGTTGGGTTGAGGTATTCTTGATATAATCACCTAAAATTTTTGCAAGTATAATCTGCTGGCAATCATGTCTAGTTTTTCTTGTTTTCATTAGCCTCAACATGGCTTCTTCACTACTGCTTTTCTTTTTCAAAACTGCTGAGAAATACTTTTCTTGAGCCGAGGGTCTTCTGGGAACTGCCCCTTTACCTTCACAAGGTAGGATTAAGGTCTGCATATACACTATGGGAACACTGGGTTTGTTGTTGAAACATGTCTAGTTTGCATATGTAGTTGCTGATATCTACACACACAAAATTGTAGTATAAAGTTGTGATACTGTCCAATTGTAGGCCGTATAGCAATCCTTACACATAGATTTAGAGGGTGTTTGGATTGGCTTCTAAGCTGTTCAAATCAGCTTTTAAGCTCTTTTTAGCTTTTTTCAGTGTTTGGGAATGTCAGAAAAGTGCTTAAAATATGTTAAAAACTGATTAAAACAAGCCAAAAGCAATAAGCTGGACAACCCCAACTTATTGCTTTTTGGCTTAAAAGCTATTTCTGCTGAAAAGCCACATTTTTTTAAGCCAATCCAAACGGGCTCTTACTAATGTGAGGAATATGATTTAACTTTATCATGATAACCTGTACTTTTCTTACCTAATAATTATGATTTCTATCAGATCTTTCTCCTTTCCCGTTACTCTGAAGACTTCGGATAGTTATTCAATGTTCCAGTGGTATCCACATGTAAATACGTGGGGTATTATTATGCATGGACTCCATCATTTGGGTGATATAATAGCATCACACATTTCTTTCTGTTATGTTCAATAATATCTGATAATCCTCTTTTCCCTTTACCTCAGGGAAAATTCTGGTTTAGTTATTGATTCTTGCTATGATAGACTATTTTTGCTATTCGTTAGAAAGGAAGGAAACCGAGAAAAGACAAGTATGGTAAGAAATAATATCTTTATGCATAATGTGGGTTATATGGAAGAGAAGCCAAAGATTCTTTGAAGGAATTAAGAATCCCTATGTAGCTTGAAATACTTTCTTGGATTTTATGGCTCCCTACCTTTTGAAAAGGGATCTAAAACGACAAGAAGCACAAGTGTGGTCTGAAATATTTCTTTTTAATTATTTTTATCTTTATGCATTATACGGGTTATGGATTATGCATTATATGGGTTATATGGAAGATAAGCCAAAGATTCTTTGAAGGAATTAGGAATTCCCTGTGTAGCTTGAAATACTTCAGTTTACAATGTCAGCTTTCTGTTGCAGCGTAAAAAGCCTACATGCCATAAATATATTGTTGGATTCTGTGGCTCATTACCCTTTGAAATGGACCTACATCTTTGTACTTTTTTTCATTTCACTTCCTTTTGCTGAGTTATTGAAATGGATGTTCTTTACTCGTTCAGAAAAGAACTAAAAGTCAACTTAGCCCTTAACTCTTCATTTCGTAGCATCAAGCCCAATGCAAACAGCGAAGAAAGTTTTTCTTTTCTCTATGATATAACTGAACTTGAGAACTGAGATCATTTTCTAATTGGTTTACTATGAATTTCAGCTAATTGCAGGAAAAAATATTTGCACCGATATTCCAAGCTGCACATCGTAAGTACTGCATTAAGATTAATCACAGTATGCCTTGCTGGTCTAAAATGCTATTCTCTTTTGTATGCTAACAATATTAGCTGTGCTTGTGTTACTCAGTCATGCACCAAACTTGATGCTGGAAAGAGTGTCAGTCAAAGTGGTAGATCCTCAGTCTCGAGAGTGTTGTTTGAAAGGATATAATTTTTTGCTGGAACCAGAAGCTAAGGTGATCCTGTCCTTCATTTTCGAGTATTCCAGTTTCTGTCTTGTGGGTTCAGTTCAGAGTCGTCTATAGTTTTTGTAGAATATTTGTTGTGCTGTAGTTATACATCATAAGCTTTACTCTAGTTAGTTCAATAGTTCAGTTGGGTCAGAAGTAATGCTGGAAGTTTTGATTTAATTTATCATCTGAAAATTTTATAACCTTTGCCTTTATTCAGCTTCTCTGCCACTTTGCTATTAATCAAGCAAGTCATGCAAGATGAACTTGATTGAGAATTACTTAGATATTTGTGCTTGACTAAGATCATTTATTCCCTTGTCCTTGCAGTATAAATTTGAGGGCAGGTTGCAGTCCTTGTTGGAAGTTGGGGGTGCCAACGTTTCTTCTGCAAACATGGTCTGTCCTAATGTCCTATGTTATTGCTACCTGCTCCTCCTTCCCCTGATTCCTTGGTCTTCCTATCTGCATCTTCTAGATAACTCACCCCTTAAGATTATAAATATTTTGGTAAGTCTGAGCATGTTTGAGAAAAGGTAGATGGCACAGCCTCGTGAATGATGTCTTTCTTAATGGATAGGGGGGTCAAGTTCATAAATTGGAAATGCATGTCGGAATAACGGCGAACATTTTGAAGATACAAAAAGCCTGAACAAGCATTTTAAAAACCGTGACTCACTTAAGAACATCCTTGTTGTCCTTTTCCCTTTTTGTTATAGGACTTGTGGCACTCTTTGTACTTGTACTAGAAAATATACTTACTTTGAGTTCAGTGTATAAAGGTGTCTTCATCAATAAGCAAAGTGGTGGTGAAATTTTTGCGTGATTTGACTGGAGATCCTTTGTAGATAAGTAAAAAAGGTAATAGCAACTCACAAAGGTGCATAAAGAGTAATACCTTAATACCAGAAACCCTGACCACAAGGTTTTGGATAGTTAACTGCGGCCGCCTCACTTCCTGTGTGGGCAGTTCCCATGCTTTTTGCTTCATTAAGTCAAACCTAATGACTTACTATAGCAAACATACACTAAAATTTGTTTCAGTAATTTACCTTATCAAAAAAAAAAAAATTGTTTCAGTATTAATTTTTGGAGAGGGAGAAACTCTCTTAACATGGAATGACAAACCAAGTTAAGAAGTGAAGGCATAAAAGAGAAGAGTTTTGCACTTTTGCTCTTTCTCCATAAAAAAAAAAAAGAAAAAAAAGAAAAAAACGAAAAGAAGAAGACAGAAGAGGTTTTGCTATAAGGAGACGACGGTCTATAGTGGGAGGACTAGACACAGACGGATAAGATTTTTGATTCATACAACTCCAAATATACTTCATGAGTCATGGTTGAGTTGAATCATAAGAGTAACAATGGCGACCTTTACATTTCCATTTTCTTGAGTGATTCCAACTTTCAACTCCTCTTCCTTTTTCCTTTTCTGTGGGGTGGAGTTTCCATGGGTGCTCGTCGTTTCGGCATTCAAGGTGCAAATTAATGAGACTATGCTAATGGTTTTGCATGCAAAGTACATACTATTGACCCACAGATGATTGTACGTATTAATGTGTGAACTTACTAGCTCATTTCATTATCTTTTAGGTCTTGGAGCAAAATGGAGATGACCGTGTGGTGTGTGTATTTCCTGCAAGATCAAACAGCTCTAAGTGTTTTCCTAACCATAGTTCTTTGCCTTGGGTGAGTGAGATAGATCTGGTTTCTGCAGTTCTATCTGGATATCTGGATCCTTCTCTAATCACAACTCCACCAGGTGAGTACAGTTATGTTTAAGATTTAGTCTTTTCTTTGCATCCACCATGTCAATCAGCTTTCTATTTACAGAAATATCTTTTCTCTCCATTCTTGTCTCTCTTTTTGATCATTCATGTTCTCGTCCCTCCTTCCAAGCCCTTCCCCCCCCCCCCCCCCCCTAATTTTTGGTTTGAAACTTTGACCAGCAGATTCAGACTGCAAAGCATGATCTTATTGAATTTACAAATTACATGCTCAGGTGTTGATCACTAACTTGACAGAGGATCGTCCTTTTGAAGCTTGTTAAACATATTATGAACCATTGACTAGTTTCGCCTGTGGTATAACCTCATGATTACTTGAGGTGGTCAAGGATCTTGTCTTTTATCACTGTGCCTACTGTTGTGCAAAAGCAAATAAAAATTGCTGGTTAGACTAGCCAAGAGTTTTAAGTGTGGTTTTAAACTGGTTGATAAGGTCGACTAATCATGCAATGCAACTTTTCATAAAATCTTGTGCCACCTTGTTTCAAACTGCTTGAGTAAATTTTTGACTAGGGGGAGATTCATTATTACTGCGGCGGACCAATCCCCTTCAGCTAGCTGGAAACGTGCTACTAATAAGCAGTGTAATTGGTCATTGATCTTGCTGCTGGTGATGACTTTAGGCCTGGACATAATGAACAGAAAAACAACAGTTTTCCCTGTCACAATAAGCTTTCTATAGATATATTATTCGCAAAATCCCTGCTTTATATCACTTGCTCAAAATGGATTCAAGAAGTTTCTTACAAAAAGAAAATTGCCGGTAGAACGGAACTGTGAGATGTTTCTAACGCGTGAATAGCTTATTTTACTGTTCTGGCTTCAAGGAGTACCTGAGCAGAATCCATATTTATGAATATATGTTTTCTGCCAAATTTATTTCATGCTCTTAACTAAATAATTGTCCTCTGCAGTGCTCATTACATCTTCATGCTCCACGGATGAGACAGTGGTTGCAGATTCAGATGCAGAAACAGAAAGTATGAAATCAGATCACATTGCTGCTGCCGTCTGTTCAGTAGAAGCTCTAGAGTATGACAGCAAGGCAACAACTTCTGCACACAAACTAGAATCTGTTGAAAATTATAACGAAGATAAGTGTTCTGTCCAAATAGTTATACCTGGGGATAAGGGATCCAAGAGGGACACATCTCCCAGTTCAACAAAACCTGTTAAACATGATGATGCTACCACTCATGACCCTGAAAGTGGTTACATCGGGCGCTTAGGAGTCAAAACTGATAATACAGTGGCAAAAAAAGATATAACTGACGAGCCGGAAAATGGGAAGTTGGACATCATATATAGCCAAGATTTAATTGTTAGAGATTCTATCATGTCGTTACCAGTCTCTTCAACAAATGGTGTTACAAATTTTAAGCGCTTCCGTAAGGTTAGTATCTATTGCACTGTCTTATGTGAAATATATTCATATCGGAGTTCAGCTAGCAATTTCAGCTTGATCTTGTCATATTAACTTTCTAAAAAAATCAGTGATGAATTTAATATTGGCTATGATGAAGATCTTTGGCAATTCACTTATGCAAGAGTTGCAGTGATATCCAAACGAATTTATTCCATGTGTCCATTTTGCTTGTCTAATATGCAGCTGTGTCCAGTGAAATCCTAGGTTTGATTTGATTGTAAGTCCAGGAAGCATATCAGTTTGTAGACATAAGACGGCTTTCTGAGGATCCTTATAAAAAAATTGCTTTCTGCAGTTCGCTGTAACTGTATTGCTTCTTTTAAAGTACAAAAAGTTTTGTCTATGAATTGCAATTCTAAATTGATGCATCTTCATTTTAGGTTTGGTTCCTCTTCTTCTTTGGTCAGTGGATATGATTATGGTGCTATACTTTAGATGTCAATATTTGCTGTTCTCATGACTTAATTTTGTAGACAAGTGCTCCATCCCCGAATAGCTTTGAAATTTTCATTCCGTTTGCCAAGTATCCATATCAGTAAGCAGCTAAGTCTATCTCTGGTTTGTTTATAGTCTTCATTTCATTTCATATTCCTTCAATGTTGATCCGTGATCTTGATGGCAGAGAATCTGAGTATAAGAATGAAGATGTTGCTGAATCGATTAAAGAAGAGAAAAAGAGAAAACAAATGGAAGCTATTGCCGAGGACTTGTTTAACAGTGAAAAGGTCTGTAATACTTCCTGTACTATTGTAGCTAATATTGCAGCAACTTTATCTCTCAAGCCAGTGCTTCTATTATTGTATCATAGGGAAGACGACGTGGTGCAGCTGGTTCCCTGCATGGGTTGTTTGCTCGTAAATAATATGGTAAGTTTCTTTACCGAGCTGAAGAACTATAAATTCTTTTCCCTTGTCTGCAAAGCACGTGCAGCTTTGTGCTTTAGAAGGTTCCATTCGTATGAATCAATTTGCTATCTTAGATCTCGTTGAAAGGTTTTATACATTTGTCCTTTCTCAACGCATTTCTTAGTCAAAGACTCTATTTTTTCCTCTTTTATGCGGCTGAACGAAGCAATTCTTCGGCTCTCTTATAAGCATTAAGCTTAGGGCTCCCATGACAATCACAAAAAGATAAGGAGAGAGAGGGTCTCCTTGTCTTAGACCTCTTTGTGACTTAGAGCCCGTTTGGATGGGCTTGTTGTAAGTGACTTTTAAGCCAAAAGCCATAAGTTAGGAATTCTAGCTTTTAGCTTTTGGCTTATTTTTGTCATTTTAGCTTAAAAACAAGTGCTTAAAAGCACTTATTTTACTTTATCCAAACACTACAAAATGGCTTAAAAGCTATCTTGGCTTAAAAGCACTTAAAATAAGCCAATCCAAACGGGCTCTTAAAGTAGCCTCCGGGGCTTCCATTAACGAGAACTGAAACTCTGACAGTAGAGATGCAAGTGTTGATCCATTATATCCACCTACCCAAAGGCGACCCAATTCTTAGGGCTCAAACCCGAGAACCTCTGATTAAGGACAGAAGGGTACTTACCAGTTACCACCACAATCTTTTGGTAAGGCCTATCAGTTGGATGCCACTGAATACACCAAAGTCCAACAATAACTAGTTTTCTCACAATTAATGTAGCATCCCATTCTTCCTCTATCCGAATATGTAATTCTGGCTGCTTCATATAAGGTGATATACTTAATATAACTTTGTGATGTGCATCAGGTAATGGACTATACAATGCACCAGCAAAAGCAGAAAGTGATGGAAATTTCTGCGTTGAAGTGGGGAGTCATTTACTGCAACAAGAATGTGATTGGCAACTACCCTGTCATAATTAGTACAACAAACTTCATAGAATATGTCATTTTACAAAAAACATTACATCAACAATGAATCAATCATAATATATGTCTAGTTCAACAGGATTATCAGCAGCATTTTCTAACAAAGCCATTGAATCAGACGAAAATGTTATGGAACTTTCCATCTGATGAAACAGTGGAGCAATTGGTTGAGATTGAAGAGGCTGAGGAGGTAGTTGTAGCACTTCAACTTCACCTTTAAGCATTTCTACTACTTCACCCATTGAAGGGCGTTGCACCGGATTTGTTTGTATGCACCATAATGCAGCTATAGTCATCTTTTCATCTTCATTTGCTTCTTCATCCACCACTATCTCCTTCCCCTTATTGAACTTATGATAAGTCCAAGATGGAAATATTGGCTAGAGTTTTCTTCATTTGCAACTACATTTCTCTTCAAGTCCAACATTTCCATTAGTAGCATTCCAAAGCTGTAAACATCAGCTTTATAAGAGATTGCTCCTACGCTTCTGCTAATCAATTCTGGAGCTACATATCCAATCGTTCCACGAAAGAGTCACAATGCTATCATCCGTCGGATATAATTTAGCAAGTCCAAAGTCAGAAATCTTTGTAATGAAATTCTCATCCAGAAGAATGTTGTGAGGCTTGATGTCAAAGTGCAAAATTCGTATGTCACAGCCTCGATGCAAATACTCAATTCCTCGAGCACTCCAACAACAATTTCATACTTCCTCTGCCAACTTAACACAGGGCTTCCTTCTTGACTGGTGATGTACTTATCAAGTGATCCATTGGGCATGAAATCGTATACAAGAGCGCGCTCTGTTGTCTCAACACAATACCCCACGAGTCCAACTACATTCACATGATGAATTCTTCCAACGGTAGCTACTTCATTCATGAAATCTTGGCCTCCACCAGCTTTAGGCTTGCTCAACATCTTCACTGCTACATCCCTGCCACTGCGAAGCTTTCCTTTATATACTTTACCAAAACCTCCCTCGCCTAATTTCTCTTTGAACCATCTGCTCATTCTCTTTATGTGGGAGTAATTATATCTGATTGGCATGAAATTATTTTGTGTTTGCAGAAAGCCTTCAATCAGATCATACATGGACAAATGCCTCCTTTTGAATTTGAACATCAGAGATACAATTATGATTGGTAGGCCGATCACAAATCTTGCTCCCAAATACACTGCAGGGTTGACAAGTCATACAAAAGTAACTTCTACTTAAGCCAACAAAACATAGTGGTGATTAAGAGTTAGAAAATTCTGAATAATTATACTGACGCTATAATATAATCTTGACTATTGAACTTCTTACCGTTTGCAGATAATAACAGCCATCTCTAAACTGTTTTGAAATATGAAGGTTTTGAAGAAAATTATTTTCATGAAGATTGCAATTAAAAGCTTTACTAAATTTACCAAAATTCAATATTTTTGATTTTTTTTTTTTTTTTTTTTTTTTTGTGTCTAATGTAGTTTTTTCCTGGCATATACACGCATAAATATGTCAGAGAGGCCATTTAAAGTACGGTTGTGTAAGAGCGTTAATTTGAATCACAGATTTTCAAAATTAATATATAGTACTATCTTTTTTTTTATGAAGGCTAATTTTAGCTTCTTACTTTCCCCCGTTTGTATCTCAAACCATTACAGTTGGTGATGTACTTAATTTTCTTGGCTACAAAATTAGGTGCATTATAGATAGTTGTATGTTGTTTTAGGTCACTTTAACCTAATGGTGTAGATACGAGAATTATTCTGACAAATCAATTGATATATAAAAGATTAATGAAATGCTAATCTCTGTCCGGCCAGATAGTCAGCTTGCTTGGGACAAGAGCTTACCTATGAAAAGCTCAGCTAGCATCTCGGTGCTCCCTGGTTATATTAGCAGATTTAAACTGAGAGATCCATCGAGAATAAATTAATATAAAGAAAAGATAAAAAGTGTGAGTCCTCACAGCGAATCCATTGAATAACACCTGCAAAGACATGAAGAAATTAAACTGTGGTGAATCCTTCTTTTTGATAATTCCTTAAATATCATATGGAGGATGAAAAGAATGTTGTTAATTAAGGAGAATATCTATATCTATATCTATATATATTAAAGCAAGAAAATTATCATATATAATGGATATTATGATTAATCCAAGTGGCAAGGTAATAAATGTCAATAGTATATGATAACTTTATTCTATATTTAACTATTTTAGTTATATATATATATATATATATATATATATATATATATATATATATATATATATATATATATATATACGGAATTTGAATTAAAAAGATAATTTTAAATTTATAGATAAAGTTCTATAATTCGATTTAAATAAAAAATAAAATTTATCTTTTTTTATCATGTTATCATACTTAATTCGGTTAAGGATCATATGCAATCATGTTAGGAACTTTTGTTTTTTTTTTTAATTATTTAAATACTACTTCGCCTCTAGAAAAAAAAACTACTCCATATAACTAACACTCTTTCACATTTGAAATCCTATAAGTATAGTTCTTTGAAACACTGTAGCTAGATTTGAATAGAACAAAATTCTTTTAAAATAAATGTAATATATAGGGTACACGTCTATGTTTATCTAAATAACAAAAAAGAGTATACAAAATCAAATAAAAGTTTACTTACATATATAATAAAGTAAACATACATGCTGGAGAAAGAAACATCACAAAATCAGTCAATATTAAAAAAAAAAGTTATTTCTTTTTTCTTCTTGAAGAATATTTGTTTGAAGTTCAATTTGCATAAATGGATATCAAACAAATAACAAAACTTTGGCTATACAATTGCTATCATTAATTTCAATTTAGCACATTCAAGAAATTGAAGGATATAACTGAAACCCCTTTATTTAGCTGTAGTCAAGCCAATATTGCAAGGGTATAATATTTTTTTGTTGAAGAATATTTGTTTTGTATCATTAGATTATGTGAAATGTTTTTTTTCAAACTCAACAAGAGAGAAATTGGTTTCTAATTGATAGTTTCTATAGCGACTTTTAAGTGTAACAAAGAATATATATAAAAAAAAAATTGATATGACGTGAAATATTTTTTTTAAAATGTAAATAAATTATTTGGAAAAAACTCTTTACTTTTTTAATTCAAAGATTAAAAAAAGATAAGATATTCTTGAACATTAGCAGAGAGTTTTGAAGTTATTATAATAGAAGTTATATCATGGATAAACTCAAAAAATCGAAATCTTAAGGAAAATTTTGCATAATATCCGGCCATATTTATTGTTTACTTTGTATAGCTAATATAAATAGATGATATACCGACAACACACGATTATACACATATTATATATGAATTATATATAAATTACACATCATTCAATTTTTTAATTTAAGTGGTCGGGTGCACCTATTTAGGCTGGTTAGATAAAGCCAAAAGAAAAATATAAAATAATTTCAACCAAAGACTAAAAATATAATTAAAGTTCATATGTAGACAATTTTTTATTAAAACTCATCCTTTTATAGTGAAATAAATTAATTTTGTGTAACAAAAGAAATAATGACATAATAAATAAGATAAAAGAAAATAAATATTGAAAAAAATGTTAGAAAGATCTAAAAACGAGAAATAAAAGATGACAACAAGTTTTCTTCTTATGTTTCATCTTTGTTGAGTATAAAAAATTTGAAAGTTTATCTCATCGATTTCAAATATTTTTTTTCCAACTCAAATACATAGATTATAAGATAAGGATATCTTAGAATATTTATTTAATTAACATTATGTGTCGTTTTTAAAAAATCACCATTACTAACAAACTGATATGATATTTGGATTTGAATTGGAATTCTATTTGAGTAGTTTGCATTGAGGTTAAGCCAAGTATGGTGTCAAAAAATAAATTACTTGACAAATTTAAGACAATATATGCAATGTTTTATAATAATAATCAACTAATTTAACATTTAATGATTTAAAGAACAAAATTTTTGTATATATAGGGTATTAAAAATTTAAATTCCGGGGCTAGAGATATCGATAAACTTAAAGTGGAGTCATACTGAAATAAATCCGTCCAAAGAATCACTTAAATTCTTAGATAGCCGATTAAAGTGAATTTTAAATTAAGGATAATATCTTCACTTGCATCATTATAAAGATAATTATTATTGTCACGACCCAAAATCCATTAAGGGTCGTGATGATGCCGGACACTGCTGTCAGGCAAGCCAACCAAATACTTAATTAAACTCCAATTTTAACAATTTTGGAAACCAAGATTTTCCTTTAAATTTCATAAATAAAAAGATAATTGCTTCAATTCAAATTAAATACTAGCAATCAATACAAAAATATTTAAAAATCACCCCAGAACCCGGTGTCACAAGTGCATGAGCATCTACTGATAAGGAAATAAAATACAATACAACATCCGTCCGAAATACAGTGGACAGAAAGAAAATACAATTTTCTGGAAGGGACTTTACTAGCTGCGGGCCGCCTCGAATTATGCAACTCACCTAGTCCCCGAATCATCCGTGCTGCTATGCCCAGTGGGCTTCTAGAGATAAATATATCTGTGCAACAAAAATGCACAGAAGTGTAGTATGAGTACGTAAACAACGTGTACTTAATGAGTATCCCGTCTAATCTCGAAGAAGTAGAGACAAGATGGTCAACTTCGACACTTACTAGAGGTCAATTGACAATATACTAAAAATGTGAGGAAATCATGGATTTATATAGCAGTCCTAGTTCACGAAGCCAGAAAACAGGTAAACACCTTCAACAAATAATCAAGGATTTTCAAGATTTACTCTTTATTATCTTATCAATTTATATCAAGCCACGAAGGACACATTTCACATTTAAAATTCTCAAGCAACAATATAACATGCGCAAATCACACCGAGGCGACTGCCCGATCCAACAGAAATAAACTGTGCACTTGCCGAGGGTCGACGACGCGCCTATAGATGCATCTATTTAATCTGCCGAGGCGTTCGGCCCGCTCCATAAATAAACACATACCCTGCTCGCGAATCATG